GCCCCGGCGGGTCACTGGCTGCACCTACATGGACACGGACGGGAGCTGGCGCGTGGCCGACTGTGACACCAGGCTGCAGGGGGGCATCTGCCAGCTCAGAGCAGGTGCTGCCTGGGGGGGACACCAGGCTGCAGGGGGGCATCTGCCAGCTCAGAGCAGGTGCTGGCTGGGGGGGATATGGGGTGTTCAGCACAGGGTTGGGGAGAGACCAAGGGTTGGAGATGGCACCCCACCCCGAGCCTCCTGCAGCTCTGTGAACATCCCTGCAGAGCTGGGAGCCTCAATGTGCTGTGGGACCCCAACCTGGGGTGTCCCCCCACCCTTCACTCACTGTGTGCTCCCCAGGTGCCCCCCGCATGCACAAGTGGAGCTACAGTGGCAGCTGCCCCAAATCACTGGAGGACTCGTCCTGGATCCCCTTCCGGGACCACTGCTACACCTTCCACATGGAGATCACCCTGGGGCAGAAGGAGGCCATGAGGAGGTGCCAGAAAGGTATGGGGTGGCTGTGGTGGTGGAAGAGGGTGACAAAGTTTTGGACGTGGAAGAGGGAGGGGTCCCTAGGCTGCCCTGGGGTGCATGAATGGGTCCCCTCTCCCTGCACCCATGTCCAGCCTTGATCAGCCATCTTCTCCTTGCTGTTACATGTTGGCATTTGTGGGTGGTTCCTCAGCTTGGTCCCCTTGGGCACTCTGCTCCTGAGCTCTTCTCTGACTCTCTTTCCTCTGCAGTTGGTGGCACAGTGTTGTCCATCCAGGACGAGATGGAGAACATCTTTGTGTGGGAGCACCTCCAGGCGTATGAGGGCCCTTCCAAGGGTGCCTGGCTGGGCATGACCTTCAATCCCAAAGGTACAAAGGGAGGAGTGAGGTTTTAGATATTCCCCCGGGCACTACCATGAGTTCCCACCCAGTCTGAGGTGAGCAGAGGGAGCTCTTTGTGTTGGCACCAGTGTGTGGGACTTATGGCATGGCCTGACCAGGAGTCCCAGTGCCTCAGGCTGGTCTGGACATGCTATGTGTCCTCCTCTGTCTTGGTGGGATGAGGCTGGTGGATTTGAAGCCCAGAGTCTCCTCCAAGGCACTGGAGCCTGCAGGTTCAGGAACGTGCCTTGCACCCCTGGTCCTCCTCATCACCCCATCACTCTGGGGCAGAGATGGGGTGTCCCCTTCAGCCTCCCCAGGCCTAATTCTTCCAATTCCCAGGTGGCACCCTGGTTTGGCACGACAACAGCGCCGTCAACTACTCCAACTGGGGCCAGCACGACACGGGGCCCAGCATGCTCAGCCAGAACAGCTGCTACTGGATCCAGAGCAGCAACGGCCTGTGGCACCTGGGCTCCTGCACCAATGTCACCATGGGGGTCATCTGTAAGATCCCCCGAGGTAGGGGCCTGTGGGGTGAGCTGGGGGTCCAGGCAGGGTCCCACAGGACATGGCAGCACTGGCCACCTGTGTTGGACAGTTCTGGTGTAGGGGCCAGTGCTGGGGTCTGCAGGTCCCCAGGGGGGCTCAGTGGTGCATGCTTTGGTGGCTGGGTCAGCACCTCCAAGCAGGATGAGCCCATTGGGGTGGTGGTGGGGCAGATAGGACCCCCGTAGTTGTGTGTTGCCCAGTATCTGTGTGGTGGGGCACTGGGAGCAGGGGAGGACGTGGGGCTGGTGGGACTGGCACTGGGAAGGGGGAGGGTGCTGTGGTCGTGCACTCACCTCTCTGTGTTGCTGTTGCAGTGGAGGAGAGCAGCTTCTCCAGGGCAGGTGAGTGGTCCTGTCAGCCTGGGCACAGCCCCAGGGAGTCCTGCTGCAGCCCAGCTTGGATGAATAAGCAGAGAAATGGTGTTTGTGGGTGGGAAGTCCCATTTTCAAGCGGCTTTGGCCCTGGGTTAGGAGTCCCCAGTAGCAGGAGCCATCCCTCTGTGGAGAAGCATGTCCAGCCCCTTGCTGGGCTCTCCTGCCCTTGCCCACACTGACCAGCCAGGCTGGGGGGTGGACACTGCATCCAAAGATCCATCCCAGGCAGCTGCAAGATGTTCATGCACATCAGGAATGACCCAGAGAAGCTGCCCAATCCCAGGAGCAATTCCATAGGCAGGATGGCCCCAAAACACCAAAGCAGACTCCAGTCCTATCCCTGTCCCAGAGCCACCATCCAACTAGAGACCCACCAGCCAAAGCTCCTCCTGTGGGATGAGATGGGGGGAGGTGGCAGGTGCTGGCCTCCAGTCCTGGGGTCAGCTTTGGGATCCCACTGCAAGAAAAACAGGGAGGTGCTGGAGCAAGTCCAGAGAGAAGGGCAGTGGAGCTGGGAAGGGTCTGGAACACAAGTGGTTGAAAGACCTGGGGGTGTTCAGCCTGGAGACAAGGAGGCTGAGGTGAGACCACCTCACTGTGCAGCTCCTGAGAGGAGGTTGGAGCAAATGGGGG